TTATACGTATGTAAAGATTTCCATATAACTTACAAATACACCTTACATGGCCTTTTTGCGAAACATCGCGGACGATTGCTTTATGTATATTGAATGTCATTGCTATATGGAAGTTGAAGTTGAATCAATTAAAAAACAATTCCAAAACAGCTAACTGCGATTACCTTTGTGGGATTTACATCTATGTAAATTGTTTTTACTGGTTTAAATAACTAAATATATTTCATGTTGTTCAGTTTAGATGTCTTAATTAATAGCTGCGGCATTGTTTACATATTCGTATCGCACTATGTGGCAATTTTTGAAAACTATTCTGTTATAAGTTACAGAACACATTATTTCCGTACTTTTGATTAAGTGCGTTTATTGAAGAATTGTATGTACGCACGCCATCATACAAATAAATGATTTAAAACAATTTTAAAACGTTACAAACGTGTTAATACTTAATAGAACGAAAGATTTGACATACAAATACATGTTTCGAACATTTGGAACTGTTTCGTTTATCAACGTAATAACAACGATTTTTTCCTTGGTCTTTACTCAGGATTATTGTATTTCTTGTAATATACAAACATTTCGTCCTCTCTTTGGAACATACGAATGTTTCAAATGGTGTCATACCATCATAGTGGTATTGAATAAATGACATTGTATTTAGTAGACTGAAAATCGTATCATTAGGAATAAACTTGTTGACCCGGAGGGTGTAATTGTTTTCTACATTTAATTATATTTTTAGTTTTGTAGAGAAATAATTTATTCGTATCCCCAAAATACTCACAATATACTGTATCATTGCAGCGTATAAAAATTTACTTATGATTGCCTCTGCAGTAGTAATAATTATGAACACAACAAGATAATTTTAATTATTTTCACAGCATTCACAGTAACCGATGATCACTATCCCCCTACGAGGTTCTCATTCTTCTTGCCGGTACGTGTTGCTGAAAAGCTTCACTAATGTTCAATATTTATGCATATTTTTTCTACAAGTATTCTGTACCTTTGTAACTACAATTTTCATTATTTTTACAGCTTTTACAGTCACATATCATCGCCACCCCCCTACGAGCCTCTCTTTAAGTTATCTTGCCACAGATTCCGGTAAGTGTTGCTAAAAAGCTTGACTAACGTTCAATTTTTATGCATCATACGTTTTCTAGACAGTATTCGGTACGGTACCTTTTTAAGTATAATTTTCATTATTTTTACAGATTTTACAGCCACTGATGAT